ATTCCTGCTAATTGTGCAGGTTGGTGATGCATGTGAAGAAGGAAGGTTTAGAACCCCAGAAGGCTGCACATCTGTTGCACTAAAACAACTAATCACCTCTTAAATTTTGTAGTGGTGTGACAGTTCACACTTAAGCAAGATTTCACATTATTACATATCTAAAAATATGAAACCTGAGTTAAATATTAATAAAAAGTAACCTCTTTTTTTCTTTGTGAAGCAACATAATTATACATTAATTTTGACACTTGTCTGGTTGCCTTGGAAGCAAAAGAAAAAGAAAAAAAGAGAAAAGGAAGGATCTTGAGTGATAAGAGAATACAAGTATTTGCCACACCAAATAATTCCTCTTCTTTTTTTTTGAAACCAAAGGACCTTACCCTTCCATCAAGGTATGTTTTTCCCACTGTAGAGAAAACTGGGGTTAGAACAGCTCTCAAATTCTGAGGGGCTGAACAGGGAGACAAGTAAGTGCCTCTCTCCTGGAGTCATCACTACATTTTTTCAGGAGCTACTCCCTATCTCAACTTAAAGAAACTTGCTGCAGAAATGGTCAGTCTGCAGACTAACCTCAATGAAATGGAAGTAATCATCTGCTATTTTTCTTTAATATGTCTTTATTGTTTATAACCATAGCATCTATTACTGTAACATGTCAGAAGAAGACAAAAGACGAGATAAATGTTTTATTCCATGGTCTGCTACGATTATGCATAGATATATCTGTCTCTGTATAAGTCTTAAAAGCACCTTTAAATGAAGTCAGTGGTCTTAAAAATATTGTAGTTATTCTAATTATAAAATCCTATCTGTCACTTAAACCCTACATGCAATTCAAGGGGACCACAGATTTGTACCTACAGGTCATGAATAGTTATTGTCAGATTTTAAGTGTATGAGAAGCAGTTACAGTAAGATAGGTTCCCTGTTGCTTACCTGGGAGTGTGCTCACTGTGAATGGCAGGATTATATTTCTCTCCTCCACTAGGAAATCTCTATTAAAATATATATGTATACCCATCTATCAGTGGAATTCATATGATGCTAGTTACATCCCACTTCAGTTCTCATAGTGGTTCTTAGCTGTGTGCAGACATATTGGCCAGAGGAGCCATTTAAATTGTGGGTTATCAGAATAAAAATAATTTTCATTTGTTTTTTGACCACTAAAGAATGAAAAAACCAACTCAACAAAAACATGCAAAGGGACATGATGGTATGCAGAATCAGCTCTATAAAGGTCTAAATTTGGTTGGTAGCTGGAGCCTAAAATCTTACTAAGCAGTATAATAAGGCCATTATATTATCTGTTTTAGCTACTGCTGAATATAGAATTGGAAACTGTATACTTGCTGCTTCTTATGCCCTTTTTAAAAATAAGTTCTGACACTTCATTTCAAAGTCTTTATACAAAAGCGCTAATAGATATATACAAGCATAAACATGTGTGTATGTGTGTATATAGATATATAAAATATTTGTTTTCCAAATCAGTATTTTTATCAGTTTGGAAAGATTTTGTTTAGTTCTGGGTATTCAAAAATATGAAGGACCAGTAATTTCCATGATTTTCAGAATGAAAAAAAAGTCTTACTTTTGTGTATTAACAGTGTATATAAATTAGTTCCTTGCATTTTAAAATGTGTACGACCCAACTTTCTTTTGGTTTGTAATTTATTACATTATTATTATGTATTTATTGGTTTGTAATTTATTAGCAGATGAAAAAAAAGTCTTACTTTTGTGTATTAACAGTGTATATAAATTAGTTCCTTGCATTTTAAAATGTGTACGACCCAACTTTCTTTTGGTTTGTAATTTATTACATTATTATTATGTATTTATTGGTTTGTAATTTATAATTATGTCTATACTGACTGATAAAACCATATTGAGACTCTGCAAATAGGAACTACTTTTGTGTACACCTTTAGCTATCTTGGTCTTTGAACTCTATTGTGCCAAGGACTTGTTTGTCTGGGTCTTTTCCTTAGTCGTAATAGTTGAATTTTCACTTTTCTTCTTTGCAAATTGTGCAAGTTGCTTTTGTCAGTTTGAAATGTTTTTAAGAAAATGGGAGGAGGTTAATTTATTTTCATCTGCTGAACAGAGTCCCTAATCTTACATATTTCATCATGATTGATGAATAAAGAAAAATAATGAGAATTCAAACTTCTTAAGGTAAGGGGTGATCCTAGGGGTAGGAGATGTGAGAATGTGAGTGTGCGAGTGATATTAGTCACCTCTTGATCTGTGTAAAAGATCATGGAAACCCAACTCCTTTACTTTGCTCTTGATTTAGTTTTCTATGGACATTATGGGATGCAATACTGGAGCCAGGAAATCAGAAGACAAACGTTGGTCAGCTTGACCATCAGGAGCTTAGTGTCAAGTATTATCTGACACACAGTTATGTTTGCCTGGAAGCTCACTTGGCCCAGACAGAGTCAGAAATTGTTCAGAAAAGAACTTACCTTCCATTCTTGAAAAAGCTAATTTTTGTAACCCTCTGAAATAAAAAAAAATACACTGTATTGTTAAGCAAATCTCTCATTATTACCTACTTTTGGATAAATTTATTTTTCTAATTTGAAATTGCTAGTAGAAGTAGCTAATGCTATGCTAAAAGTTGGTCCTCTCTTAAAGCAAAACATTAAATCAATACATACTTCTGGTATCATATAATGAATCCTCATGCAAAATACTGTATACCAGGATGACCGGTGACTAGAAAACAAAACCTATAATATAATCACTGTGGACACCTTATTCCTCCCCCCCCAAGACTGATACAGAGAGAGCCAAAAATTTGTCATTACTCAGTGAATAAACATGATGAGAAATGGACTGAAAAACCCCAACCTAACATTTCCCTTTGGCTGTACTGGCTGTTCAGCATTACAAAGTGGTTCTGCTTATTATAAATTATTTGTAATGATTTGACAGTAGCAGCAGTACTGTGTGCTTTTCATTTTTTTGTTTCCTGATGACTGGGGGAAGGCAAAGCAGAGATCAGGTTTTTCATATTTTTTTCATATAGATAGTGGTTGATAAGTTAGTTTAGAAGAAACTTTAGAAATTGTTAACATTTTGATAAAATATTAGAGCCAATATAAACCAACTGGAGACAGGGTGAAAATATACCATGGGCCATGGAAATCTCTAATGCTTAAAGGATAATTTTAAGTTTTTGGAAATTACTTGGAGTGGTTTTCAGCTTTGGATGTTTCCTAAGCCATTTATATGCTGCTTTCTTGTGTTCCTTCCATGTATGATGGCCATGGTCCCCTCTCAGACTCTGCGTTCCAGTAGATTATTTGTGGGAGTTGTTAGGGTAAGATTTCTTTCCTTTTTAGAAGCAAAAAGACCAAATCACTTGTGAGTCTTCGGGAGCTGGGGATGGTGCAGTGGCCATAGCTCAAACTCTGCATGTGGCAAACACACATGTGCAGTGGATGCACCTTTTTCCCCAAGAGTGCTTCCAAGCTGTGTGAGTGTAACAGAATCTTTCTCAGGGGCTTGGTACACTTCTGTGAGTAGCTTTAATTTATTTTTCTTATTAAAATATTTCCAGCAGCTGTACTTAGAGTGAATCGGTTGTTTTGCAAATGGGAATTACCAAAAATGTACCTCAGCATGGTACAATGTAGACATTATTTCTGCTCTTCTTTAGAGTAGCTGATTTTATAGTTTAAAGATTTGTTGATACTGGAAGGTCTATTGAGATGCAAAAATGTTCCTTTTTTTGGGTAGCACATTGGCAGCCAACAGACTCCAGGCCAGGCAGATTGTTTAATGCTTTGACAGTGCAGATCTTGGACAGCGAGAACTTTTTGCTAAACTGGTTTTAAATGAAGTGTCCTGTTTTGGTATGTGTGGACACTGCAGAGCAAAGTTTTCCACAAAAAGGGGAATTGTAGCCTGGGCCTTCAGTCCTATACACAGACCTAATTAGCCCACCTAAAGGTGTTGGTATACACCACTGCCCTGCATCATATTTTAGCTGAATAACACAGATGGTGCCACATAGACCTGAAGACAAGAAGAAGATTCCTGTGTATTAATCATAATTCATGTAATGGAGGGATTTGTGTACCATCAAAGGGAGAGAGACTGTCACATTATTGCATTACTAGCATTGATTTATATTGAAGGCATACTGCAGGCTGTAACATGAGCTTTTCACGTGGGGCAAAGGATAAAATCAGCTCTTCTATTAAAATGAGATTATTTTGCACCATAATGATCAGACTGTTTTGTTTACACTCTATAGGAAATCACGGCATTTAAAGAAAGTTTCCATTTACTTTAAGAAGAGTTATTTTGTTTCTGTCTGTGATATTTGCACTTTTGATATTTCATATAGTGTTCTATCTAAAGCTGGTTATATGGCTTTAAATTTGGGGGAGAGGGACAATCAGAAAATGTTACTTCCCCTCTCCCTGTTTTGCATTCAGCTATGTAGGTGACTGACAGTGCTAATTTTAAAATAAGAAATTCATATGTACTAAATTTAAATACAATTGATTTAATATCAGTGTAGTAAATATCAGACACAATCCGTAGTGGGAAAACATTATTACTGACTCCTGTTATTCACAGAGTTGTATGCCAGATAGTTACAAAGCAGCGGAAATGCTGAGCTGGCCTTTGTGACTTGCAGAAGATTTCTCTAAACATTCAGTTCTTGGCCAGAAGGATAACATACTTT